GGGCATGCTCATTGCAGGGTCAGCCGAAGGACGCCGGGCGGGGTGTGGCGGGGAAAGGGAGAGAAGGGTTAGTCTGTGAGCCACCGCCCGGTCTGCGCAGCCGGGAGGGGGCGGGCGGGGTGCCGCGGGGTGTGAGGCCCTGGAAGCGCCCGGCCGGGGTCTGATGTCCTGGGCTGGCCGCCTGCTGCTTGTCGGGGGTGACTTCTGCTTCCAGGGACGCTCTCAGGGGGACTGTGGGGGGACACTAGGTGGTACGATCGTTCACTCAGGGGAGACCCTGGGCACCACTGACCCCCACCCTGCCCTCGATGCCGCACCCTCGCAGAAGCTGTGCACGCCCTTCTATTTGTGCCCACTCCTCGCCATAAAAACGAGGTTTCATGAAAACATTTTAGTTTTCTTATTTCTTTCCACCCACCAGTCCTCAGGGGCATCCTCCCCACCCTTAGGGTCCAGCCTGTCTGCAGAAAGGGCGCTCTGCCACGGGTGTGAACTACGAGGTGGACCGGGAGGACCGGCCCTGGTCCTGACTCCCGAGTCCCACACGCCGGGTCCGGGGTCAGCTACCTCCTGAAGGGAGCATCACGTCCAGGACGCGAGCCGGCTCCGCAGACACAGGGCAGAGGCGCAGACGTGGGGGAGACGCCAAACTTCGTTCAAGTGTGGCCTGAAGACAGCCGGCAAGAGCGCCCCGTCCGCGTCCCGGGGGGACCTCAAGGGGCCGACGCGGGACCCAACCCCCACCCGAGCCCCGACAGCGGCCGCCCCGCAGGCCCAGGCCCCCCAGGGCGCAGGGCTGAGCTCCCAGAGCGGCAGCCGTTTTCTCACTTGGAACCCAGTTTGGTGGCTCAGAAAAAGCCACTTCTTTCACGATTATTTTTACTCCAAATAAAAGTTTAGCCCCAAAGAACCCTCCCTCTTCCTTTCACCTCTATGACCCTTACTCAATACGACGCAACCTCCTTATTTCCCAGCCTTGTTCCTTAGAACGGCCGTCGCAGCCTCGGTCCTGGGTCAGCTCTGCTTGAAGCAAGGTCAGGGGCCCTCAGCCCTCAGAACCTGCAACTAGCGAGGTGTGGCGTCTAGGGACGTGGCACCAGGGACAAGCCCCCCGGGGCCGCCGCTGTCCGGAAGGGGCTGGTTATGTGGGTAACAGCCGTAGGCACCGCGTTGCCGGACGTGGGTTTTCCCCGGCTTTTTCCCGATTGGATGCCGTCAGGACAGGCAGGTGGGGTGCCCCGCTCAGAGGCGAGGGGACACGGGAAAGCCCACGACCTAGCACACGTCTGACTCGTGTGTCCACATGACTCCCTCCCACGAAGTCGGGCAAAAGCAACTCCAGACGAAGCTTCATGCGCCCAGCCCCACCCGGCCCCCTCTGGTCACAGGACAGGGAAGTGAGGTCCAGGTGCCCGGGCGACACAGGGACTCGGGGCTGGGGCTGGAGCGCAAGGGTCACGACCGCTCCCCGGGCCTGGGACCCAGAGGTCGCCTTGGAGTCCTCTTGGAGACTGGGAGTCCAGGTCGGCCCCGGGTGGGATTACTGAGGCTGGACCCCATTCTGGGGGAGGCGGCCAGCCTGCCTCCCCCACAGGCCACTCAGATGATGGATGGCTTGGAAACTGAGGCGGAAACAGGGCAGAGGACCCGGGGCCCGAGGGCACCTTTCCGCTAAAGACAACCCCTCCTGCCCCGAGGAGCTGCTCCCCTGCAGGCGGGACCGCGAGTGCAGAGCGTGTGCAGAGCGACGTGGTCCGTCCTGGAAGGATGCTGAGAGGAGGCTGGCTGTCTGACTTTCCACCTTCGCCACCAGGTGTCGGGGCTCAAACGTGGGTCTTTGGGCTGCCCTGCCCCAGGCTTCCGCTGAGCAGATTCCAAAAGAAAATGAGATTTCTGTGAAAGAGTAATTAATAGCTGGAAACATAATTGCATCTTTAGAAATGTCACCGTTGGCTGTGACGAGCAACATTGACTCTATCTTGCCGAGAACGATCACCGCCTCGGATTAACGTCTTCTCTCCCCAGACCGTCTACTCTGGTGGCGATGCGCTTGCTCGGGGCCTAGTAGGACTGGACTTCTGTGTCTCCAGGGAGGTGCGTGGCGGTCACGTCGCAGGAGCCGATGCCGTCCCTGCTTGGCTTTGAGAGCAGTCGTGTGGGGCCTGGGTGGCTGGAGGAACCACTTCCACCACGAGATAATCAAACTGGAAATCGCATGAACCACGCTGCGGGGTGCAGAGGGTCCGAGCGGTCATGGAGCCTGGCGACCCCAGAGCATCAGGGCTGGCAAGCCCTCTGAGGGTTTGCTCCACACCTGGAGACCCTCTGTCACTGAAGGTACGGCCCTGCCCTCTGCCTCAGACCTTTCTGTGCGTCCTGGGTGAGTGGGCATGTGAGGGAGTGAGGGACGAAACTGGGGGAGGTGGACGGGCCTGCCAGGTGGGACGGCTTCACACTCATCCTGGGCGGGGCTCTGTGGGCCCCCCGAGGCCGTCAGTAGGAACGGCCAGCCTCTCCGGAGGTTGCTGAGAGCTGAGCTGGCAGCCTCGTGAGCGGGTCGGAGGGCCCAGCAGTGAGGTCAGTCTCTCACCTCCTCTTGTCGGAGGGGGCTGGGGCATCAGGCCGGACCTCCCGGGCAGCTGCGGGCCATTTCTCCCCCAGCCCGACTCCCCTGGGGCCCAGCGGGTGGTCCTGGGTCGGCCCCGTGGCGGGACCCCGCTGTCCTTGCCTCTGCCGGCTCTTGGATGGACCTGGAGACGTTATGCTGCCGTTAACTCGGCCGGACGCCCGCTGTGTCACCGTTTTCGCGTGAGTGGTATAGTTTGAGGTCCCCTCCTGAAAGTACTAATCAGGACCGTTCACAGGCAAAGGGCTCGCCGACTCTAACCCGGGGTCCCCACGCCCGCAGCCGGCTCCGCTCCACCTCTGACGGCTGCATGCGCGCCCTCAGGATTCATCAAGAGACAACAAACCAGCGTGGGTAAAAAGACAGGCCCGGCTGATCGAAAACCATCGGAAGGTAAATATAAAACAGGATTGAATATTAAGAAGCCCAACAAAGCGGCCTCATTAAAAAGGCCCAGCAGATCTCAACGCGTCGGGGACATAACCATCACCGCTGTAACCCGGGCGGGGGGGGGGCGCCTGCCCCGGTGCAGACGCAGCTCCAAGACGAAGCCCAGATGCCGTGCTCCAGCAGCCGTGAGCACCCCACGCCCGAGCAGAGCTCTCTCCATTGTGACGGCACCACCGCACTGGGCCACCTCGGGGACGCCGGGGGTGCGGGCGCGGGGGAGTCCGGGCCGGTGCACCGGACGAAGGTCTGCACTCGGGCACACGTCAGTCCCCCGCCCTCTCCCACCCGCCCCACCGTCCTGAGGGTGACGGGGCAGCACGGGGTGGGACCATGGTCACAGAGGAGGGGCTGGACACCCTGAGGGAAACCGCTCACTGCGACCTCAGGGGTGAGACCAGATCTTCCAGACGTGGGTGACGGTGGCCATCCTGGGCAGGATTCCTTTGGAAACCCAGTCGTTTCAGGCATGACGCTACTTTAGGTTGGGGACACGTTAGTCTAGATCCCAAGGCCAGGTTTAGCAGAGGCTCAGCCGTGCGGTGTGGCACAAGAGGGACAGAGAATGGCTTGTCCCCAGTGCCTCCGACCCAGGCCCGCCATGTCTCCTGGTCACCCCCTCCTCTCAGGGCTTGGCTCCCCGCCAGACTGCGAATCCTCCCGGGACGCGGAAGGCAGTCGTGTCTATGTGCACAGCGACGGCCACGGCTCGGCTTCCCACCCCTCACCACAGGCCAGCTACTCGTCCACGCAGCTCGCTTGTGTGATCTGACTGAAGCCTCCAAACCACCCCACGAGAGATGATATGTCCCCGTTATGTTTCCAGTTTACAGATCAGGAAACTGAGGCTTAGAGAACGAAGCTGCTTACCAAAAACGAGCAGCTAACACGAGGTGGGATGTGAACCCGCGCAGGTGTCATGCTGGGTCTACCCTCGTGTGAATCGGATGAACCCATGAAGTCCTTTCCTGATCAGGAGAGAGGCCAGGCTCCTGCGGACGTGCTGGGATCCCAGAGAGGAGTGGAGGGCAGACAGTGCAGGTGGGGTCCTGGGAGAGGCCACGGATTTTAGCACCCTGCCCGGGGGACGTGGAGCAGGGGACCAGAAGCCTGGGCTCTGGAGCCAGGTGGCCTGAGTGTGCGTCCCGACTCTGCTGCTTTGGAGCTATGTGACCTGGGAGGTGTGACCCTTCCTCTGTGGCTCAGTTTCCCCCACATTGCAGGGCTAAAAGGGATGGGCCAGATCTTTCTTTTACAGTGGAGAACATATGGCCCAGAGAGGGTCAGTGACTTGCTCAGGGTCACACAGCTAGTCAGCGGTGGAGGTCTGGCCCCCTACCCACCAGCCAGTTCTGCCTCCTTTCCTGACCTGCCCTTCACCCCCATCACCGAGAGGCCAAAAGCCCACCCTTGATGGTCCCAGCTGAGCACAGGCCCAGGGCTCCCTCCCTCTGGTGGGTGCATCACACCGTGCCAGGCCTGTGCTGTGCACGGCGGCCAACAGAGCTCACGATTCACACTCACTTCCTCTCTTTTTTGGCCCCGTCTCCCCTTCACCGTTTTCTGTTGCTCAGGACAATCCTGACCCGGGTCAGACCTCCCCAAGGAGGCCCTGCAGGGGCACAGCACACCCTGGAGGACGCGGGGCCCATGGAGGGGCGTCTTGAGCAGGAGCCGTACCCCTTCCCCAGGCTCTCAGCCTCGCCCCCCTCCAGCAGGAAGGAAATTGCTGCCTTAAATTTCCAGGCTGGCTGCACTCACGGCGTTTATGGGCAGTGAGTCACTTCAGCTCCCCACCGCACAGGGCCTCCTCTGCCCCATAACTTCACGAGCGTGTTCATGGGCAGCTGTCAGAATGTCGATCTGTCTGCCGGCTTCTGCGCCAAGTCCATCAACACTGATCACTCTCCCGGCTCTGCCTGCTGGACGTCCGGGACTCGGGGCCCCGGTCAGGATGTGCACCCCGGGTCTCTTGTCTCACGTCTTCTGTCGAGACATTCCAGCAGCACCGCAGGGTTGCTCCAGAGCCCGTGCCCCTGGCAAAGGCCAGGAGGCTGTGCCCCGTCCTGCGTGGGCCAGCTCCGACAGGACCACGTTCACGGGGGCGGCCCGCAGTCGAGGTCTGGGGTGGGCAAGGGCCGAGCCCACATTCTAGGAAGACGCTGGGGAGGATTCGTTCAGAAGAGGTGGGTCAGGGGACCTTGTCATCATCTTCAAACACGGGAGGAGGGTGCTGCCTACCGAGGTCGTCCTGCAAGGAACAGGCCCCAGAGGAGGAGGAGGGGTGGAGGGCGAAGATTCTGCCCTCACGTAAGGAACCACCCCAGGCCGGCCTGGCTGCCCTCGGAGACAAGGGTGCTCATTGCTGGAGGCCTTCAAGCACTTGCGGGATCAGAGAGCTGATTCCAAAGATTCCTTTCCTGACTGTCCGTGGGGGAGGGGCCCTGGGGCCCTGTTCCCTCAGCACCCCGTTGTGTCTCATCCTCACGGCTGCCCTGCCCGTCAGCCTGTCCCCCAGGCGCCCCCGGCCTGCAATCTGGTCTCACTCTTTCCGGAGCCTCCGTGCCCATTTCCCTCCCATGCCCTTGGGTCAGCCCTGGCCTCTAGGACGGCCCGCGTGGCCAGTCTGGCCTCATGCGCTCCACGGAGGCCCGCCTGGTGCAGGGCCTGCCGGGGGCTGTGAGGTCGGCCCTGCTGGGAGCCCGGCCTCCCCAGGACCCCTGCCCTCCAGTCTGGCCCTCGTGGAGCTCTTCCTCCAGACCCGCAGCTCGGCGTCCAGTTCACACGGTGCTTTTCTGTGTGCGCCACGTGGACCGACCTCCTGAATCTGCACCACCACCCAGGGAGGTGGCCGGGCCCAGTGTGCAGGCCGCCTGCAGGCAAGGCAGCTGCCCTGGGAGGGAGCAGGGCCGGGGGAAGACCAGGGCCCGCACTGTGGCTCTGGAGGGATGGAGAGTGAGGCTCTCCCCGCCCGGCCGCCAGGCCTGCCGCGCACTCCGCTCCCCTGTCCGGTCCTGTCCGGTCCTGTCCGGTCCTGTCCACCGAAGCTTCAGGGGGCAGGGTGCCGTCTGTGGTGCTGTCCGACTCCCGGGGAAACGGCGGGAGCCCGCAGGGTTGGGAGCAGACTTGCACCTTCCGCTGGGGTGAGGGACGGGAGGCGCCCCCCACACACCCGCTGGCCTCGCCTCAGAGCGGGGCGTGTGCACATCCTTGGGGGGCCGGGCAGCCCGCCTCGTCCACTCACAGTCTCCCCAGAGCCGGCCTTCTCGAGGCCCTTCCTCGTCATGGGCTGGCTCGGGGAAGGCCTGCGGCGGGTGACCGAGCAGAGGAGAACCGAACCCAGACCATGCTCACAGGGAGAGCAGGGGGACTGAATGCCGGCTGGTGCCTCTCCGTCCACTGAGCGGCCCTGCCCTCGGTCCTTCCTCTCAGGACTGAGCTGGAATCGAAGGCATCGCCCCCTGACGTCTACTCCCTTTCTCCGGACTCTTGGAACTCTCCTGTAGCCTCTCAGGAGACGTGAGGCTGACTGCTCCTCCTTTAGGAGAGAGAAATGCTTTGAAACCTGGAGAACAGGGGCCACGTGGTCAACAAGCCAGAGGCCCGGAGGCGCCGGCAGGACGCGGATGCCCACGCTCATAAATGACCTCAAAGGGAGGCCGGCCTTGGGGTCAGCTGGGCCTTGCTGCCTGGGGCCCAGCGCTGCCCTGGTCACTGTTCCTGCCTGAGTCCTGGGTCCTGTGAGGCCCATGCTGAGGGCTCAGTGGCCCAGGAAACCCAAATGGAGCTTCCGGTTTCAGGCTGGAGTCCTGGGCGCGGGAGGTGGGACATGAGGCAGGCTTTTCACCGAGGAAGGGGCGTGCTGGCGGTGCGGTCTGCACCCGGAGCAGGTGCAGGTGGGGCTGCACCGTGGCAGGGCCGTGGGCAAATTCAGGCAGCTCCGTTCCTTCTGCAGCTTGCGTTGTAGGAGAAATTCTTCTCTGATGGTTCCCTAAAAAGGTGTGAGGACACGGCGTCCACTTGGTCTGCGGAAGCAGGAAGATTTAGTCCAGCAGCGCCGTAGGAGAGCGAGCATCCTGTCAGAAGGACCCAGCGCAGAGTCGCAGTCTGGGCGGTGAGGAAGGAGCGTTGGGGGAGGGAGGCGGCAGAGGGTGCGCACTGGAGCTGGGGGGTACGCCAGGGGAGGGGAGAGCCTCTGGGGCGGCTTCCTGCGCGGAGCTGCTATGGCTCATGCTTTGAAGGCAGAGATGACGATGTTATCAGGGTGCTGGCTCCGGGAGGGAGCAGGCCATGCTGGGAGAGGCCGCCCAGAGCTCTCACGGAGAGGACACTTCCTCCTTTCGGCCCCCCGCTGCCCAGCCGAGAGGCAGAGAGCCGCTTCCCTCCCTGGCCCAGGCCCCCATCACTCTGGAGCACAGGACTCAAGTAGAAAGACGGGGCGGCGGGGCTCCGGGGCTCCGGGCGGTCAGGTGCTCGGGGGGCTACAGAAAGCCGGGTGGTCTGAGCACCACTTTAACAGGTCAGGGAACTGAGGCCCAGAGGGGACGGGTTTGTACGCGGTCTCTGCGTGCGTCCCCAGACTTCCCTGCCAGGGTCCCCTTCCCCTCCACTCCCTCTTCCTACCACCAGGGACGTCAGGGCACGTCCTCCCTGCCTGACAGAAGAGGGGGTCTTTCGTGGCCGGACGGGCCGGGCGTGGGGCCCGGCGAAGCCCCCTGTTGGCTGTCTGGTCTTGGGGATATTATCTGGACCTCATCTTTCTCATCTAAAAAAAGGGAGAGAACAACGCTAACCCTGGAAGGCTGCGTGAGGGTTAAAGGTAACGGGCGAGAGGAGGGGCTTAGTGGGTGGGCCAGCGCTCGCTCTGCGTGGGGACGCCTGGACACTGCTCGCTTTTACTGGGGATGAGGAAGCAAACACAGGCCCAAGAGAGGCCTCTGGGTCACGTGCTTTGCATCTGAAAGGTCACCAGAGCTCTGACTGAAGACGTATGTGTCCTTGGGCTGGTCCCCGAGGACGCCGCGGTCACCACGGTCCCTAGGGGACCATCAGTTCCAAGGGCTTCATCTCGGTTGTCAGCCCGTTCATGAATACTCCTGAAGTGCCTACTGCGCGCTCACAGTAACCCACCCTGACAGGGCCCGGGCCCTGGGAGAGCTCGACAGCCGTGAGAAGATGCCCGGGGAAGCCTTCAGCTGTGGCTCTCCACAGAAGGGAGATCCAAGCGCGGCTGGGGCCGGGCAGCTCCAACCGGCCTTCAGTGCCCCTCTAACTCTCCCTTCTGACCCTAAACCAGAGCAAGTGCATGCCTGTGTTCGGGCCTCTCACCCTGCCTCTGCCGCCTGGAGCCCGCACCGGGCACCGTGGCGGTCCACTGCGGACCCGGTCAGGGTGCGCTCACGTGGGCGGGGGCCCTGTAAGGATGGCGCCGCCACAGGTGTCTGTCGCTTGTTTAGAAAGAATTTTTGCATCTACGAGCCAGCAGCACTTGGAGAGGGGTCTGAGGGGACTCCATTCCAGCTTGGTTATAATACTCGACAATCGGGTTAGTCTAATCAGAAATGCCATCCCCACCGGTGCCAGAGCGACAGGCCACCTCCACCAGGGGCGAGGCTTCCTGGCCGGAGGAAGTCTTGGTCACCAGCAAGTCCCTTCAGTCTCACTGATCTGATTAAACTCAGCAACGGAAAGAGGAATTTACAAAGTAGATGCTGTTCCCTATTTATTACCAAAATGGTTGCTTTCCACTCCACCCGCGAGATACAGTGGCAACCTCATTAAGTCTCAGCTTGCGATAACATTTACTCCATAAATCTCCATCTCTGCCCGTGGGGGAAGTGAGCCTTACGCCAAAAACCACACAGTGGACGAAATCAAGCCCCCGCCCCTTGAAGGGGGTTGAACTTCTCAAGCCTTAAATGGATTCAGCTTTCCGGCCCTAAAGGAACAGCTGGGAACACCTTCTGGGGACTCTCTTAACCCCGTCCCGACTGCCATGATCAGCTGTTAGCTGGCCTCACTGAGAGAGAAACGAAACAAGGATATTTCCGACGCTCCTCTGGGTGGACTTGAAGGAGAAAGGGGAGGCGGGGTGAGCACGTGAAGAAAAACACCGAGGAACAGTCTGATCTCTCTCTGAAGCCAGACAGAAACGCCGACAGACAAGAAACGGAAGATGAAAAATTGCTCTGTGTGTCTGACTCGCTGGGCACCCTCTGCGGGCACAGAGCTGGCCCTCCCTGGTTTCAGCCTGACACTGGGACGCGGCAGGGCCAGGTCATCTCTTCCCAATGGCAGGATTCCCGACTTCCGGCCGAGACCCCACTTTTCTCCCTTAATTTCTACCCTCTTTCCAACCAATGTTCATTGACTGCCTCTCTGCCAGGCCCTGTGAGAGTGGTGCAATACAAACCCCTCCCTCCCCAGGGTACAGCCCAGCAGCTGGGGAAGATGGATAAATAGATACCACGGATCAGGGACAGAAGCAGCACCGTGCAGGCGTGGAATCGGTATTCTGGGAGCAAACAGGAGGGTGTGAGTAGAGGAGGCGGGCGGGGAGCAGGGAGAGGGGACACGGGGAGGGGCCTGAGGGGGTCTCGCAGCAGCAGCGGTTCTAAGGCAGATGGTGGAGCCAAGCTTCCCGGGGGTGGGTGCAGAGTGGACATAGGTGCCAGGAGGGTCTTTGGAGGAACCAGCTGGCTTCCAGGGCTCAGAGAATCCTGCAGAGGACCCAGTGTGGATTCCAGGAGTCTGGGGACGGCAGGGTTCTAGAATCAACTTAACGCCTCTGGGACCCGACAGGTGGGAAGGAGCCCGGTTTGGTCTAGACTCCCAGGGCTAAAGCGAACGCAGGTCAACCTCGGACTCTAGAAACAAAGCACAGAGAGGAAGGGGTCTTTGTCACTGTCTGTCCGACGACCCCTCCCTTTACAGATGAGGAGACAGGCAAACTGCCAGCCGGTCAGCGAGCAGGGCCTGGAGGTCAAGCAGCCTGCTGCCGGTGGGCTCCCACGAGCTGTCGGCCTCCTGTCGGCAGGGAGGACGGGCTCCCTCCAGCGCCTGCTGCCATGGGCGCAACCCCTCCCAGCCCGGGCAGGACCTGGGAATTAACAGAGTCAGTCCTTTGAGGGGCTGTGGAAATGATACTGAGTGGGAGTGACTTTACACCGCCTAAGGGGCTCCGGAAGAAGCTCTTCAATCCCTGCTGGGGCTTGGGGTCCCCTTGGCGGGAGCCCGGGTCCTCTCCTGCTGGCCAGCAGCTGTCCGTCAGCTCCCCTGTGATGCAGAACGGCTGGGACCCTCCAGCGCTGGCCTTGCTTCTCTCACCAAGAAGAGGCTGTCCCCCCAGGTGACGGCACCGGCCTTTGCTCTGCCTCTGCCGGGCAGGGCGGACGTCAGGCCAGGCTTCTAGTCAGAGCTGGACCCGCTGATGGAAGCAGCGAGCTCCAGCTCCTAGCGTCCCTGCCAAGAAAGGTGCCCTCAGTGTCTCCTTGCCCATGTGCGTGGTGTGGGTGCGTGTGCACGGCGGGGCTCAGTATCTCCTTGCCCGTGTGTACGGTGTGGGTGCGTGTGAGCACAGTATGTGTGAGTGCGCAGTATGTGCATGTGTGTGTGTACGTGGCGTTATTTGCAGAGGATTTTTTTTGACATAGTAACTGGCCTGACGTTGGGCACTATGGCCATGTCTCATGAGTCGCTGAAATGACATATTGCTGTTGGACGGGCAGATCTGAAGCCTGGAATTGGGAAGCTAAACAGGCTCCTCCCTCGCAGACAGCCGTCCAGCACGTGATCAGGGCTTCCGGCCTCTTCGGCAAGCTGTGGCCTTTACCTCAGTCCCAGACAGAGGCACAGACAGGCCCCAGGGCACTTCTGATCTCTGTTGAACAGCCTCTGGCCTGAGTTTCTGTTTTCCCTGGCCCTCTGATCTTGGGGTGAGCTGTGCTCCTACACGGGGTGAGCGCTGAAGCCCTCTGACTAGGACTTAGGGGTGTTAGTCAAAACCAGCATCACGCGTGGCAGACCCCTTTTAGAATGTGAATTTAGGGAACATCAAAGAGTCCTCCGTCCAGATGTGTAAAGATACCTTAATATCCTTACTTTTTGTAAGAAAAAAAACCACCTAGCCCTGAAGAACCTTACCGAAATTCAAATGCAGGGGGAGGTGTAGCTCAGGGGTACAGCACACGCTTAGCATGCACAAGGTCCTGGGTTCAATCCCCAGTACCTCCTCTAAAAATAAATAAATGAATAAACCTAGTTACCTCCCCCCACCAAAAAAACAACCAAATGTATATTTTTGGAAAGGACACCCCTTTAAATGTCTTCATCAAAGCCCCGTCTGGTGAATTTCCCTGCAGGTCTCTTTGCCGGGGGTAATTTGGTCAGTCTGAGGAACTAATATGAATTAAGTCTGAACTGCAAAAATGTACATTTTTAAGAGTAAAGAGCTTCCTCCTTTGTCCTGGGCTCTACCTCCTTCATCCTTGACGGCCCTCGTGGGAGGCTGCCCAGCAGGGACTGAGTTCTGAGCAGAGTCTTCGGTGCAAACACGGTTTTCTTGCTCGTCCTCTCCTGTGGGGAGGGGTATGTCGACGCCACCCCTTGCATGGATCCAAACGAGCTGGGGGCAGGAGGGAAGTTTACGGCCTTTTCTGCGAAGTCCAAGCAGAGGCTTGAAGTCAGGTGTTTGGAAGTGGACAAAACTGCTTGTCCTGCCCTGGGAGGGCCCGCCGGGTTTGGGCCGTGCTGTCTCTGAGCACATTCTGTGATGTGTCCCGAGACAGTGCAGAAGCCGCGCAGATTTCTAGGAGGAAGGGGATGCACACGCCCGAGAGCAGGAAGAAAGCCTGCCCTTGCCCGTCTTACAGGAGACAGCCCGCGCAGTCAGCCCCCCAGCGCTCAGGGAGGGTGGCAGGCCGGGCCGCGGGGTTCTGCACACAGGCTGGGAGGCGCTCAGTGACCCTGGGGTGGCAGGATTCGATGGAGCCATGTGCTTAGCTAAGGAAGGAATGCAGGGCCCGCACAGGGCCACGGCCCGGCTAGGACAGGAGCGGCCCCAACGCGGCAGCCTCCCCTCGCCAGGCCCCTCTTCTCTCGCCTCTGTCCAGCCTAACACTGTCACTGTCCTCCTGTTCTGGGGAGCCCCCCAGCTCCCCAAGGGGCCACCCTGCCCTCGGGAGCCCCATCTGCTGCTGCTGACCCGGCCCCAGTCCTGCCCACTGACCACGAGGCTCAGACGCAAAGCGGCCACAGTGATGACCAGTCCGGGGCTCACGGCAGGTACGATGCTTATTTAAGAGGACGGACTCTTCCCTCCTCTGCGGGAGGGGGAGCCTCCTCTGGGAACAGCGCTGCCACCGCAGAGGCGCAAGGGCGTCCGTCTGGCGCAGGGGCCCTGAGGGACGGGCCGTGCAGCCTGCGTTTGGGGTTTTCTCAGCTCTTCTCTCTCATCAACCACCGGATCATAAGGGCAGGGACTGAATGAGGAGGAGCAGCCGGGATTCTACACGTGTACCTTTTAGGGTAAAGGGACAGCTTGTCGGTGTTTATGGCCCCGGAGGGGAGGCAGCGGGGGCAGAGGGCTCCCGCTGCCGAGCTCCAGGGGGAGTCACTTGGGGGCAGGCTCTGCGCAACCCAAGGTCTGGAGCAGCCGAGGCTGCTTATCCCCCAGACCCCTTTGTGGACGCCGGCCTCAGGGCAGGGCTGTCTTCCCATCCGCTCCCCTGTGCCTCCCCCTTCAGGCCGTGGCAGCCCCCGAGCCCCTGGTCTCTCTGCTTCCAGCACCCTCCACCCCCTTCCTCAACTAACCATCCAGAGAGGGAGCCCTGTGGCCTTCTGACATGAACCTGGCCCTCTGCTCAGATCTCTTCGGTGGCTCCTCTGAACCCACAGGATACAGTCCACGTTTGAGGCTGTTTGGGACCAGGTCTCAGCCTCCCCTGCTGGCTTGACACTCGGCCTCTTCCCTGCACCCTAATCTGCAGTCCCTTCTCCCCACCCACCCCCCTTGCTTGTTCTAACTTCACACCGCAGCTTCTCAGCATCAAGGTCCTCTCTTCTCCTGTGGCCTCAAGAGCTGCTGCCAGTCTGGGCGACAGAGACGAGGGGTGTGTCCCCCTCTTGGCACTTAGACTGTGTCCCCACCCCAGGAGCTCTGGGACAAGAGATCTGGCCAGTGGCAGGCGGACAGGCGAGGTCCACACTCCCTGCCCGGCCTCCCGCCCTCCCGTGGGCCCCCTGCGCCCTCCCCGTCCCTCCTCGGCTGCCCAGATGCAGGGACCTCTGAGGCCCTGGGGGAGGGAACTCCCTCCTGCCAACACCCGGCCCACAGAAAGCCAGGAGCGAGGAGCCTCCTCACCTTGCCGAGCGCTGAGACGTCCTCATTACAACAGTCAGCCCACCTGGCCGACGCGGCCACCCCAGGCAGGTCCCCGAGGCAGGACCCCCGGGCAGGCCCCCCAGGCAGGCCGTCTACACCCTAAGGAACTGTGTTCTCTGCTCTCTGCTTTTCTCCAGGCCCTTGCTCAGACCCTCCGTCCACGGCTGGGACCTGGTCCTCGTGCACCCGTCTCCCTAACTGGCTCTCAGCCACCTCGGGACGCAGGCCGTTGGCCCCTCCTGGTATGCCGGGTGCCCCCGTGTGCTGAACGGATGCACAGGTGTCTCTCAGACGAGCAGGACAGTCTGGCCCGCGTGTCACGCAGAAGGTCCCCCCCAGACCGCGTGAGGCCAGCGATCAGTTTCCGTGCTCTCTCCACGGCCCCCACGCCATGCGCCCGACCGTGCGGGCACAGCCGGGACCGCCCCTCCGCCACCGCAGACGCTGCCCACAGCAGCAAGCAGCTCAGAGGCCGGAGCTGCGACTCTCCCCGACAGGGAACCTGTGACAAGGACTTTTTACCTCCCTGTGTGAACGTGGGGGGAGGGGCAGCTGGGTGTGGGCGGCTCCGTCTGGGGGCTGAGCACTGGTTATCAGAGGAAGTGGACTGGAGGGAAATTCAGGGTGACTCATGTCCCCCCACCCCCTCTGCTGAGCGACTCTCCCAGGTGTGTCCGTCTGCAAAGCATTAGGTTAAAATCAAATCCGCGTGTGGACTTTCCAGGAGACCACGGGTAAGACTTGGCAACTGACTGAATGTCCCCTTACACGTCCACCCCTTAGTGAGCCCCCGCCGTCCCCAGGCTGGGACAAAGGTGCCACAAACTCGAGAGGCCGGACGGCAGAGCGGTCGGACTGCGCTCCAGAGGCAGGCGTACTGCCTGCGGGGAGACGCGCGCTGGGTTCTCGTTCAGACCCGATTCCGGCCCGAGTGAGGTACTGCACACGGTACGGGTCCACGGGACTGGCACAGGGGTGGACGTCCCACCAGCCCCAGAGAATCCACGAAACAGCCTCACTGCACGGCCAGGGGCAGCGGCCGGGCCACTCACCTGGAGGTGGGCCTGAGCCCCGACCACTCGGATCACTGGCCCAGGTGAGCTGTTTCCCACCCTGGGGCAAGCTTCCTCCCCTGATCTCTCCGCGATTTTCCAGCCCTGCCGGTTTAGGGCTGGATCAGGACCAGCTGGAGGTGACGGGCGGGGCAGGAGAGGCGCGTGCCGTGACCACGGGCCGGGGTTGGGATGGCCTCTCACACACGACGCCCGGGGGGCAATGCAGGAAGGGGGTCGGGGGAGCAAGGCTCGCTAGTGTCCTCACGCCTCCTGAGCAGATGCCGGCGGGGACTCTGTCTCAGGACCCCGATGTGCGCAGCGGTGACCGCGAGTAAGCCTGGGGAAAACTGCACGGATGGAAGTGTGAAAAACCTCAGATAGCGACGCACGCGCCCCACGCGCACACGGTGCAGATCAGTGATGCTCAGATCGCGCTCTCAAGCCCACGGGCCCCTCGTAACTCACTCTCCCAGCCTCTGCAGGGCGGGGAGCCGCCACCGGCTCTGCTGGTTCAGGACGACTCAGAAGTGGCTCCCGAGAACAGAGCTGAACACGCCGGGTAAACATTTAATCTGCTCTCTCTGTGGAGTCTCAGTCCCCCGCCTGTCTGTCTTTTCCACGCCCATCCGCACAAACGTGTGCCTTAGGGGCTGGGCTGCATCTGAGTGGTCTTCACGACGAGAGAGCGATTCCCACATGCACAGACACTCGACCCGCACACTTTGACCTTGAGGAGAAAGAAGAGGTTCCTGTTCTGTGAGGAGGGGTCTCTGATGACTGTTCACTGCTGGCTCCCCAGTGCCGGGAACACGCGTGGGGAGCAGACCTCGGTGGTGGATGGGCGGATGGATGGGTGGATGAATGAACTGGAATGTATTTATAAGTATTTTTATATAATGCACTGGCCACCTCACCTCAAACAATGCCCTTCCTGCCTGCCGCCTTCCCACCCTGCTCTTCCCAAGGCTGCAGTGGTGTCGCCTTTCCCTGGGTCCCCTGTAGGTGCGCCCGGCTCCCACCTAATGGGGTGTCACTGAGCTGTTTCCGAGTGGAGCCACCTGTCTCACCGACGCCCGACACGGGAGGCCTTTATGAGGTGCACCATGGGCCACCTGGGATCCTGCCCGGGGCACAGGCAGACGTCGCCAGAGCCACGGTGAAGAATGGTAACCCCCTTTTCCCTAAAAGGCTGCTTAGTCTTGGAGCTGGAGCTGGAGAGAACTGGCAGATACCCTGTGCTGCAGTCTCTCAGCAACTTCAAAGATGAAGACGCTACTTTGATGGAAACACACACAATTTCCAGCAGCATTTCCCCCCTTGTATTTGAAGGCCAACTACGAGATTCTGAAGATAAGAACGTAGTTTCTGAGCCGCGGGCTTGCCTTTCCCGCACACCCAGTGGGCTGCAGTTCCCTAAGAATCTAATCACATCAACCCTGAATCTGGCCGGCCTCCCCGCAGACCCTGCCCCTGCACTTGCCTCCCGGCCCCGCTCCCAAGCGGCACACTCGGCTCTCCGCCTGGTTTTAGTTTACTCTCTCTGGCTTCCTTAGACACTCAACCCCTGCTTCCCGCCCCCAGAACTGTCCCACCATCATCTCCCCAGTGGACGAGGCAGGCTGCACTTCGTCCTCCGAGGACCAGGCTGGCTGAGGACAAAGAGCCCACCCAGGCACCTCTAGCCACAAGGAAAGAGGACACGGGGAGGAACCGAGGCCTCCGGCTGGATCTCATCCGTATTTGGGCTTAGGGACATCCAGTCTGAGACTCGGTCCATTAGGGTAGGTGGCTCCTTATGGGCTTCCTGAAGCTGGACCAGAAGCGGGGGTAGAGGGCCTAGTCCAGGTGATCTGTCCAGCGGCAAAGAGCCCTCCCTCTGGGCAGGGCAGGGAGGCAGCATGCCTGTCCTCGGGGTACAGCAAAGCAGCTGTGTCTCTGTGGACAGCCACCGCATGCTCACGGCCAGCGGACACGCACGTTTCTACTGATACGTAAGAGACACGCTCAGCCCATCAGCTGTGGGCTGGGGCCCTGCCCTGACCAGGGTGCAGGCCAGGGCCGAAATGCCGGCTCCTGGGCGTCAGAGCAGTGCCCCCGCGGCTCCCGGGCCAGCTCGCTGGTTTACACACCTCTCAGCACCGACACCGACCGCCCACCGCCCTTCAGCAGCATAAGAGCACTTCCCAGGGAGGCCCTTGGGGCGCCGCCTCCATCAGAGGCCTCTCTTCCCACCTGCAACGCTCCTCAGCAGAGTGTGACTCCCACCTTAGGCTATTAAACCACGTGGTAGCCAGTCCCCGGTCATGTGTCTTATTTTGTATCTGCGCCCTAAGCAGTTACCCGAAAGGGACTCTCCGGTGGAGGTACTCAGTCCGGGTCTGAGAGGAGGGACGGAGACCCTGCCCTCTGTTAGCACTGACATCTTCTTCCTTCCCCTCCACCTGCTCCTCCCCGACCCTGGGCAGGGCTGGGAAACTCATGAGCAGGGACGCCCGGAGACCGATGGGGCACCGTGTGCACGTGGGGCGTGACGGGTGCCGAGAGGGGAGACCTCACGTTCACACGGACGGATCAGGACACACGTGTGTGCACACGTCCCTTGGCCCTCCCGGCCTCCGTGAGGACATAGCACTGGACACCCATCTTCCTGTCAGCCTCTGGGCCACAGCGGCTGGAGCTCACCCCAGAGCATCTCCGGCTTCCTGCCCTTCCAGCCTGACCTCACGCAGCAAGCGTCTTGGCTATTTAACCTGTTAGGTTCTTTGCCCAGAGACGCCCCATTCAAATGTGCGCCACGCAAGGGGAGGACCCCGCAGGAGGACAGGGTGGTCAGAGTCACAGAGAGGGAGGTTGGAGGAGACAGAGCAGTGAGAGCCACCCCGCGGGCTCTCATGGTCACCCCGCGCCCCCGACACCTGGGGCTCGCAGCGCACAGGGCCCTGGGCCCCCCTCAGTTCCGGACAGCTCTGAAGAGGAGCCCGGGTTCCCAGGGGAGGCCGGTGTGCTGGTCCAGGGCCCACCTCTGAGAACTGCCAGGCTTCCAAACAGGAGCCCCAGTCTGCACGATCCACCACCGTCCCCACACTCGTGAGTGGGCAGCGCTGACCACACTCACTACCATCCCAGCAAAAGACTTTCCAACCACCAGCCCGGGAAGCCCCGGAGGGAGGGGCTGGGCTCAGTGTGAATAACCTGATGTCTATAACACATCTACAACATGTCTATGATCTAATGTCTGCAACATGTCTGCATGTCTATAACACGTCTATAGCGTGTCTACAACATGTGTATGTCTCCAGCATGTCTGTAACCCAATGTCTATAACATGCCTGCAACATGTCTATATGTCTAAAACATGCTTACATGTCTATAGCATGTCTAGGTCCTGGCTGGCCCCTCTAGGCCCCCAGCCCTCTCCTTAGCACGTCCTGGGACCTTCGACTGTAACCTCCTCGAGAGAAACCCCTGGCTGTTTTCCCCGTGAGAGCGTGGGGTGCCTGGAAGGGGCCGGACCCCGCTTTCCAGGGGCTCCAGGTGGAGACTGTGCCCTCCAGAGGAGCCCGGAGCAGGACGCCCGCTCCTGCTCGGGAAGAGGACGTCCAAGTGACAGGCGAAGACCCATCTTGGCAAAGCCCCTGCTGTCTTAGGCCCAGAGTCTCCGCCTCACTCGAGTGACTGGCTTCAAGCATGGGGAGGACGGCCACCCGCGGAACAGGTGCTGCCGGGGCGGGACCCAGGATGGGGCCCTCGGCGCGGCTCTCCTTGCCCAG